GAGCCCTTCTGAAAGCACTCTTCTGCCTTTTTCCTATCACCGGTGACAGTGATCACTCCTTTGGGACCGGGCATCTTCAATTTGAGGTATACGTAGCATGGTCGAGCCATGAACCGCGCGTAAGCTGGTCTCCCCAAAATGGCATGATATGCACTCTGAAAATCCACGACCTCAAATGTCAACTTTTCTTTGCGAAAATGCTTCGAATCGCCAAACACTACGTCCAAAGCTATCTGGCCGAGTGACTCGGCCTTCTTCCCTGGTATAACTCCATGAAAGCTCATGTTACTAGTGCTCAGTCGGGACATCGGAATGCCCATACCTTTCAATGTGTCCGCATATAATAAGTTCAGCCCACTTCCACCATCCATCAGCACCTTTGTCAGTCGAGTGCCTTCGACAACTGGATCGACCACCAAAGCTTGCCTCCCAGGGGTGGCAATATGAGTCGGGTGATCAGATTGGTCGAATGTGATGGGTGTTTGAGACCACTTCAGATAATTTGCTTTTGCTGGGGCAACCATGTTCACCTCTTGGTTAATCACTTTCAGTCGACTTCTGCTTTCCATATCTGCAAAGATCATCAGAGTGGAATTAATATGCGGATATCCTCCCTCACTGTCCTCCTTGTCTTCGGCCTTGTCCGACTCCTTCTCCTTGTCCTTAGACTGTTTTCCCTGAAACTGCTGGATCAGGAGTCGACATTGGCGAGTGGTGTGCTTCGGGTAGATGATATTCCCTTCTTCATCTTTCTTCGTGTGAATGTGACATGGCATGTCCATCACGTCGTTCCCTTCTTTATCCTTTACCTTCTTGGGGTTCCAGGATCCTTTTTGTTTCCCCTTAAACTTTCCTTGAGTTACGGCCAGAGCCTCTCCAGGAGCTGCTGGTTCAGCCTTCCGCTTCTGTTTCCGACTGGTGTTTCCTTTTTCCGACTGACTCGGCTTGTGCTTGCCGCTTCGGAGTCGGTCTTCTTCTTCGCCGTTGGCGTACTTGGTAGCAATCTCCATCATCCGACTCAAGGTCATGTCACCGGTTCGACCAAATTTCAAACTCAGTTCTCTGTTCTTGACGCCATCCTTGAAGGCGCAGACTGCCTGATGATCAGACACATTCTCCACAGTGTGGTGCAAAGTGATCCACCTCTGAATATATTCTCTGAGAGTCTCATTAGCCTTCTGCACGCAGACTTGCAACTCTGTCAATCCAGCTGGTCGCTTGCAAGTTCCTTCAAACGTTCTGATGAACACTCGGGACAGATCTTCCGAAGTGTAAATGCTGCTAGGAGGTAATTGAGTCAACCATGCCCTGGCAAAACCTTCCAGCATGAGAGGCAAGTGCTTCATGGCCACCTCGTCGTTCCCACCACCGATCTGAACTGCCACTCGGTAGTCTTCAAGCCAAGTTTCAGGCTTAGACTCACCAGTGAACTTGCTGACTCCTGTCGCCAACCTGAAATTGGGAGGGATAACTACGGCTCTGATAGCTCTGCTGAAGCATTCAGGACCAGAAACATGCACTCGACTGCTTGTGGGTACATCTCTGTCGAGTCCACCTCGATAGGCTCTGTTCCGGTCGACCAACCCTTGTACGATAATGGATCGCGCGTCGAAGCCTGGTTCTCTGGGGTCGACTGGAACCCTTCGCCCTGAACTGTATTGACGCCTATCATCTGGCTGCCGAGGAGCGTAAGACCCACCCCTCGGAGGGGAATTGGGCACTCGACGCCTGTCATCTCGGTCGAGTCTGTCGTCATATTGATCTCGCCGATTCCCGCGCCCTTCACGCCGCGGAGGCGATCTAGGGCTGTGCGCCGACTGAACCGTATTCATAGTGATGGATCGACTGTGAATTCTGTTGCGCGACTGAGACACGGCTGAATTCTGATCTCCTGCTGCCCGGAGCAAATCCCTGATCTGCAGCAAACCTCTGCCAGCTTCTGACTGCGAGGGCTGGATGGACTCCGCTATACGGGCCGCAGCTGCTAAATTCTGGATTGGAGCTCGATATACCTGAGTCGGCGGGAAGAGTTGACGTCGATTGGTGTCGGGAACTCGTTGCCGCGCGCGCTCGTCGAGTGCTCGCTGAAGGTTCTCCAGCCGAGTGCGCTCGGCCAAATTGGCCAGACGCGCCTCCTCCAAGGCACGAGCCTCGGGGGTTTCTCCTACGATGGGAGTATGCAGGGCATCCACGTTCCTGTGGCGAAGTTCCTCTCTTTGCAGAGAGTCGAGTGGCTCGGGCTGGTACTCTTCGTAGCCTCGTGCGGGGTCGTCTCCGTCACCTGCTCCACCGTCATGGGCGAAGCCAGGGGGACCGCGGGGCCCGTCGACCATCAAGATTTCTGCCGCTGGATCACTGCTACCGCACTCGGATGCAGTCTCTACGGAGCCAGTCGACTGATCGAACAAGTCGTAGAGAGATTCGCTGGGCTCGATTGCCGCAACTTGGGTGGTGGCCGATTGGCGAGCCACCGCGTGCCTCACCCATCGCTGAAGCCTCGACCGGCCTGAGCGCTTGCGCTGGCGGGAGACCGGGAGGGTGGACGATAAAGGAGCCGACCGATACTGGGTCGACGGTTGCCGCAGCAGAACGCCGCGGACACATGCGCGAAAATGCATCGCACCGCGGACGGGGAGCGCATCTACGTCGAGTGGAGCCTCCTGGAGCCATGCGGAGTCGTCGGCGATGAAGGTGAGAGTGCCGAGACGGATCTCTTGACCCTCGACCAAAACTCCAGCAGACACCATGATGAAAGTACTCGGAAGAATCGCAACTTCCCCACAAAATCGCTAAAACACCTGCCCCACGGTGGGCGCCAACTGTCGTGGTTCTAAGCCTGACAGTAGAGTGGGGGGTAGGTATGGAGAGGCAAGGTCCTAGCTATGGAGAGGTTGTAAACACAAGGGATGTACGAGTTCAGGCCCTTCTCGGAAGAAGTAATAGCCCTACGTCTCGGAGCCCGGAGGCGGTCGAGTGGATTATGAGTATAGGAGTTACAAGGTGCCGAACCCCTCTGCCTGTGGAGGGGGGTGGCTTATATAGAGTACGCCAGGACCCCAGCCAGCCCACGTAGGAGAGGGTTTAAGGTGAGTTAAGTCTGGGGAGTTACTGGTAACGCCCCACATAAAGTGCTTTTACTATCATAAAGTCTACTTGATTACAGGCCGTTGCAGTGCAGAGTGCCTCTTGACCTCCTGGTGGTCGAGTGAGTCTTCGTGGTCGAGTCCTTCAGTCAGTCGAGTGATTCCCTCGTTGGTCGACTGGAAGGTGACCTCTTCTAAGGGTGTCCTTGGGTAAGGTACTTGGATCAGGTCCATGACCCTACCCTAGGTACATAACCCCATCAGCAAGTACTACAGGATGGCTGTTCGACCCGCTATGTTGTGTGGCGCTGAGTGTTGGCCGACTAAAAGGCGACATGTTCAACAGTTAGGTGTGGCGCAGATGCGTATGTTGAGATGGATGTGTGGCCACACGAGGAAGGATCGAGTCCGGAATGATGATATACGTGAGAGAGTTGGGGTAGCACCAATTGAAGAGAAGCTTGTCCAACATCGTCCGAGATGGTTCGGGCATATTCAGCGCAGGCCTCCAGAAACTCCAGTGCATAGCGGGCAGCTAAAGCATGCGGAGAATATCAAGAGAGGTCGGGGTAGACCGAATTTGACATGGGAGGAGTCAGTTAAGAGAGATCTGAAAGATTGGAGTATCACCAAAGAACTAGCTATGGACAGGGGTGCGTGGAAGCGTGCTATCCATGTGCCAGAGCAATGAGTTGGTCGCGAAATCTTATGAGTTTCATCTCTAGCTTACCCCAACTTGTTAGGGACTAAAGGCTTTGTTGTTTTTGTTCTTATTGTAATATCCTTTAGCTAGTAAAACAATGCCCTTGAATGTTTGAGATACAATGACTGAATAAGCTACCTCAGAGTGTTGTTTGACACTAGTTGAAGTGCATACTTTTCTAGCGAGTGCTGTTTTTCCCACCCCACCCATGGCAACTACGGATACAACACTAATAGTTATGGCGATGGATGGTGGCGCTGTCTGGCGTCATGGTGGCGTCGCAGATAGTTGGGACTGGCAAGGCCTATGCATTGATCTGTCCTGAAGATGAGATGGCAGACTATGGCAGTGACGGATTCTAGAGCGTGCACATGCGGTGTGCGTTGATGGTCTGCTAGATCGGTTGGTGCTCTCTGCTCGCAGTTAGGCAGCCTGGTGAGGCTACCAAATTAGATGGCATGCATGGATGCGCCAGTGCACTCCATCAAAGTTGTAGGTCGAGCGATTAAGGTCGCCAGGAAGGTGGCTTTGGGTCGATCCATGTATCTGCTCTGTCAGACTCTATTGAATAATAATTTAATAAAGATGATTGTACGCATTGATTGACGTTGAGGCCCGAGGTAATCCTTCTTTAATAACAAAGAATATGGAGTGTAAGGGCAAGCTAAGATTTACTCCCTCGGATTCCTAAATATAGGTCTTTGTAAAGATTTCACTATGGACCATATATATAGTGGCCTTTGCACTATATACATTCGTATGTGGTCCATAGCGGAATCTCTACAAAGACTTATATTTAAGAACGGAGGTAATAAAAATATATTACTAATTTTTTTTCCTTTGGTTTAACATCCCGGCAAGATATTAAGATGCGGGCATGCCATGCAAAGAAGCTCCTCTGTGCATGCATGGATTGCATGCCTTGCTTGAGATGGGGCTTTAGAATCATAACTGGGCTTGGTCGTTCTGAAGTTTGATTAGGAAAAGAAACTGAAATCCGCAGTACCTTTTCAGAATTACAGCTTTTTCTATAGGGAATTTCATAATTATATCTTTGGAAGTTAGGATGGAGACGGGCCTCTGCATGCAGTGCCACAGCTGAAACTTCACGGCTGGGCCTGGCCTTCTTCTCCTTTGCCCTAGGTCCTACTACGGGAGCTGCTCGATCTCTCCTATCCTCCCAAGATCCGATCCGATCCGATCCGATCCGATCAATGGGGTGCATCCCCTCGCGTGCGGCGTCTCGGTCCGCCGCGCCAGCGTCCACGCCGGCGCCCGCGTCCACGCCCAGCCCCTGGAGCGATCTACCGCTGGAGCTGCTCGTCGAGGTCTCTGACCGCCTGCAGCACGCCACCGACTTCGTCCGCTTCCACGCCGTCTGCAGGCCGTGGCGCGACGCGGCGGCGCTGCTCTCCCGCCGCACCTGCCTGCCGTGGGTTCTCACGTTGTGCAACGACGAGATGCTACACTCCATCATCGACTTTCATCACCCCCTCGAGACGCCGCACGACGGGCACCGCGACTTCATCCTCGCCGATCCACCAACTGCGCCACGTGCCAATAACAGAATCAGAATCTGGGTGGCTAGCGCGGATGGCACGGCTACCTGGCTCTTCCTTGCGAGTCCCCAGCCGAGACTCGTCGACATTCTTACCGGAGCCGTCAAGCCCTTACCTCCCTTCCCAGACGATGAAAGAATGTCCATGGAGAATTTGCGCGGCGTCGTCTATGGCGATGGTACTGTTTTTCTCTACAACTTTATTAACAGGTACCCCTCAGAGTCCATTACGGGGGCTATCATGTGTCCCGGCAGTGTGACCTGGACGGTCATGACAAAGAGGTTGAAATCGTTTCGACAACCCTATGCCATGTACCATGATGGCAAGGTCCTAGTGTTGGATGGTGATTCTCTGTGGTGCTTCATGATGACGACGGACTTGGAAGCCAACGACGGTGATGTCGGCAGCAGACTCGAGTCGAGTTGGGATCTATATGGAGATATACATTATTCTCATGAATGTAGCTACATCTTGGAGTCACACAGTGAGTTGTTGATGGCATCCGTCCTTGCGAGACCGTCTTTGTGTCGTTACGAATGCAGCAATCCAGAGCCCGCGCTGCGGGTGATGGTGCGCACATTGCAGAAAGAGTCTGGCGGTAGCAAGATGCAGTGGGTGGAGAGAGACAACCGGAGCCTAGGCAACCACATTATGTTCCTTGGAACTCCTGCCAGCTTCACGGTGAAGCTGGACGAAGGGGGCGGGTGTGCCTACTTTGTCTATTGGGGTGGCGTGTTTAGGTACAGCTTTTTCGATGATGAAACCAAGGTTGTCAAGAGGTTGCGTCCTGGATGCTGTGCTGGAGAGGTGTATGTGTGGCTTCGCCCTAGCCTACAAATTACTCCCATCCAAGAAATTAAAGAGAGGCTAGAGGCTCGAGGCTTGAAACAAGATGAAAAAGGATTGCTTTTCGAAGTGAAATAGACAAGATGAAAAAGGATTGCTTTTCGAAGTGACATCGTTTCCGACGACTCTCCACCACTGCCTGCCATCTTAGTGACAGTTTTGATGCAAACGACATTCAGGACATTCAGCTCCCTTGCAATGCTACGTGTATGACATTATAATTTGTTATTCCAAGTTTGATGTGTTTCCACATTTTTGTGTTGCCATTTAATGTATATATGAACAAAAGGTATGGTTACGGACATGATATGACCTACTTTACTGATTCTTGCCGCAAACTTCCCGTGACCGTCACACAAAACTGCAGCCATGCTTCCTTTTCCCTAGTCGTAATTGTATGCTGAATCGATGTTAATCTTCATAACTCCTTCCGACGGATAGGATCATCCCACATACTTTTGTTGTTCCTTGTACTTTCTTGGCTCCCCGCTAATTGGTTGTCAGTTGTCACCATTTTTTGTCTTGAGACCGGAACCAAAAATCATCTATAGCTCGTGTGCATAAAGGTATGGCGAGGATCGCAGACGTATCCATCGGCAGGAATGTCTCCCTTATAAGAGCTTCACGCCATGCCGCACTAGTCTCATCAATTAATTCATTGACCATGACAAACTGTGAATTCTAAGGATTTGCACTAGTAGAAAACGGGCCAATGGTCCAGGCCGGCCCAGCCCATTAGTCCCGGTTCAATCTAGAACCGGGACCAATGGGGGCATCGGACTCGGTTCGTGAGCCCCGGGGGCCGGCCGGGCCACGTGGGCCATTGGTCCCGGTTCGTTTGGACCTATTGGTCCCGGTTGATGGGACGAACCGGGACCAATGGTCCTCGCTCCTGGCCCAAAACCATTGGTCCCGGTTGGCGACTTGAACCGGGACCAATGGACTTCCATTAGTCCCGGTTTGAGCCATCAACCGGGACTAAATGGTTGGTACCCATTGCGATCAGAGTTTAGTCCCACCTCGCCAACCGAAGGGGAACGGGACCGGTTTATAAGCCCCTCCCTCTCTACCCTATTGAGCTATATTATTTTTTTCTTTTTCTGCTATATTATTTTTTCTTTTTATTTTTGTGTTGTGATAAGCCATTAATAATAAGCATATATGCTCCTTTTTTAGTATAGTTAATCACAACTATTTTTTGCTTCTATTCATTTCTGAGTAGTTTTCTATATAGTTTTTTTTCTTTTTCTGCTATATTATTTTTTCTTTTTATTTCTGTGTTGTGATAAGCCATTAAAAATAAGCATATATGCTCCTTTTTTAGTACAGTTAATCACAAGTATTTTCTTTTTATTTCTTCTATTTATTTCTGAGTGGTTTTTTATATATTTTTTTCTTTTCTGCTACATTTATTTTTTTTCTTTTTATTTCTGAGTTGTAATAAGTCATTAAAAATAAAAAAGAGGCGCAATGCTCGTTAATTTGCTTCAAGCCTTTTGGAATAGTGTCAACTGCACTGCACATAGCCCTGTGCAGTATACTGTATTCCGCAAGGCTTGAAGCTAACCAACGTGCAGGAGCATTGAGCCTCTTCGTCATTGTATCTGCACTCAGGGCTTATAAACAGCTGCGAGTGCCTCTCGCTTGGCGAGGTGGGACTAAAACAACAGCTGCAGGAAGAATCAACAAAAAAACAGCTGCAGAAAATAAAAAAGTAGTTAGACGGGTCCATTGGTACTGGTTGGTGGCACCAACCGGTACCAATGCCCATCTTTGGTCCCGGTTGGTGGCTCCAACCGGGACCAATGCCCTTCGTTTGTCCCGGTTAGAGCCACCAACCGGGACCAAAGGTCTTCGTTTCCTGCCCTTTGGGCTGCTGAAAAGAGGCCTTTGGTCCCGGTTGGAGGCACCAACCGGGACTAAAGGAGGCATTGGCCCCGGTTTGTGCCAAGAACCGGGACCAATGCCGTTGCTATATATACAGCACTTAGCGTCCTCCTCTCCGGACTTCGATCACTCCGGCCTCTCCTCCTCCGCCGTCGCCGCGTCCCCTGCCGCTACCTCGCCGTCGCCGCCCCGCCCCGCCCCGACGCCGTCG